ATAATGGATTGATAAATATATTGTTGTTTAATGGTATCTAGTTGTGTTAACGGTACTGTCAATCATTTAATTCCGTTGAGATTCATCTCCTTTGATTACGTTTTTGGATTAGTTAGTGGCTTCCCTGTGAGCAGCCCTTTTCGCATAGGTTTAAAGAAGGCTCATTTCCTAATAAACATCCATCGATCTATTATTGTTCCTTTCGCCATACTGTTTTTTTCTTTCATCAATAGCTCCAGATTATCAATGACTGTAACTTTAATGAATTTTAAAATTTTGAGTTGTTGCAAAATTGGTTTAATTTATTCTTAGTGTAATTTGTTTGTATCACTAAAATATATTGCCATTTCCCATGAGATATGCGGTTCTCTTTCATGTCCTTGCTCTATCGTGGATTGATCATGTGATTTATCTGCTTTAAAAACTAAATTGAAAATTATTCCCGCCAAAGGAGATTTTGAACACGCTAGGTGAGTATGTTAATTTTTTGTTCTGTGCTGAGCCAGTAATCTTAGAATAAGTAAAAGTGAGATGCATTACATGTTGGAAAAAGTGCAAACAAAAAGGTTTGATTATGCTGATAATGACCATGCAAGAATTTAACTCCAGATAAATTGAACTTAAGGCAGGCTTTCTTCAATTGTTGCGGGGCTGGATTGATCTTGATTTGTTCTTAGATTATTATTAGCGTGTAAGCAGTGGTATTGCTAGCTATTGCCTTCCAGGCAGGTGCAGGTGTTTACGCCTCGTTTGCCTACAAAGATAGTGTCTATAAATTTCTCTAAAGTTTGGTGGTGTAAATTGTCATTTATCTTTAAGAAAATGGATACAGAAAAGACACACAAAGGAGTTGTGGAGGAAATGGATGTATGATCTCATGTTTTATTATATCCTTAGTCTTGACTATGAACATTTTTGTTTTTTTAATTATTCCACGGAGAGGCATGTTTCCCTTAGCAATGCTAGTGTGAATCTCACAACTTCTTAACTTTGCTTAAATTCACTTTTTCCACCCCATTGCTTGGACACTTAACTTTGTTGCAATCAATTGATAGTATATCAAAATTGATTATTCTAAATTGATATTTGGGTTTGAATTTTGTTTAAGACGGATTAGAATTGCACATTTTAATATCTTCATTTAGCGTAATATAGAACCTACCATACCAGCAACAGATTGGCACAGTCAAGCGCCATTTTACTTGATTTTATTTCACTTTTCTCAATTGCCTAGCATGAATAATAATAAAACAGTGATTTTAAGCATCGTTTTCTGACTTTTTGATAATTAGTCAGTTTGACAACAATAATTTGACCCAACCAACCGTTACTCTCTACATCTCAGAAATAATTATTTACTTTTAAAATATTTTTTATAGTCTTTGGGTATAAATTTTCCCTTACCTTCCAGGAGGTTGAAAACGAAGAAAGAGATGGTATGATCGCAATTCTGTGTACTATTTTGCATGAAAAAAAATCAAATTGTTCATTTTGTTAATATCCTTCTTAGTCAGGCTAGAATGTACGTCAGTCGTAACTGAGTACTGCTTGAGTTAATTTTAGGCTGGACTTTACTTTGTTTGCAATTTCACTTCTTATCACCATATTCTTTGAACATTACGCTCTGTTGCACTCAATGAATATTGCATCAAATTTGGTCATTCTAAATTGATCTTAGGGTTTAAGTTGTCTTCAAGACGATTTTGAATAGTAGATTTCAATATCTTCAGTGCTACTATACTAGCAAATTAAAAGATTTTAATTTTTTCATTTAACAGTTTTGATATTTAGTCAGTTTGACAACAATAATTTTACCCTATCAACCGTTACTCTCTACCTCTCAGAAATAATTATATATTTTCAAAATACTTTTTATAGTCTTTTGGTATAAATTTTCCCTTACCTTCCAGGAGGTAGAAAACGGAGAATCCTTGGCGGGGGAAGAGAAGGAATGAACGCATTCCTTTTTATTATTTCACATTAAAAAGAAAACAAATGTTGAAGAGAACTGTGGCGGCAGGGGAAAAAGGAGGTATCATCGCATTCCTTCCTATTATTTCACATGAATTTTTAGAAGCAGTGATTTTTAGAATAATTTTATGATTTTCGATGATATCTCATCAATTTGATAACAATAATTGTACCCTATCAACCGTTACCCTTCGTGATGATAGGCAGCTTGAAAAAGGTTGACTGTTTGCGTTACAAATTTTGGAATATCTTTTAGGAGGTGGAAAAAAAAGTAAAAAGAAAAGAGAGCAGCAGGTGGAAGTTGTCGTCGGGGGAAGGAAGAAGGTATGATCTCATGACTTTGCATTATCTAACAGGAGTAAGAAACCTTTGCTCATTTTTTTATTGCCACAGGTAGTAATTTTTTTCAGCAAAAATAATATGAACTTCAAAAGTGGACGTTCTGCTTGACCTGCATTTAGAGTTGAATTAAATTTTGTTAAAATTTTACTTTCTTCCACCCGACTCCTTGACCATTAGGCTTTGTTGGAATCAATTAATAATGCATCAAGATGACTATTCTAAATTGCTCTTCAGGTTGAAGCTTGTGATTTAGACTGATTAGAACTGTCAGTTTTAATATATTCATTGGATGTTTTGTAGATGCTGCTATGCCAAGGAAAATTGGGCGCAATGAAGCGCCTGATTTGCCAATCATTCCATTTATCAAGGAAAACCCCATTCATAATGTTGAATTGGGAAAGAAAGCGCCTCAATGAAAAAAGGTATTTATAACAATATATCAATACTGTATTTTCATGCTTAGTGGCACCTCTCCCCCCCCCCCTCTACTCTGGTACAAACGCTATTTCCTCTCTCGTTAAAGCTCTGCTGAAAATGGCTCTACACACTTTTTTGATAAGAATACCTAATTTTTTGTTGTGACTTAATATTTTTAAAAACTTTCGATTTTGAGCCTTGGATTATTTCTAAATTATTCTTGCTCGACACAAGGTCTAAATTCGCCTTAGGATCAAAGAAAAACATGAAATCTTTCTGATGTGTTGCTTCATCATGAATGTAGCAAGAACAAACAGAACAACAAAATGTGATGTTAAAATGCAAAAAATAATTACACGAATACGATCCTATTCATATCCAGATAAAGAAAAAGTTTCAGTCTTGATGAAGGTTGAGCCTGGCATTATTCTTAAATTATTTTTAAATTTTTTGCAATTTCGAGCCTCAAATTCTTATAGACTTTATGAGCCTCAATATTCCTATAGACTTTATGAGCCTCAATATTCCTATAGACTTTATTCTTATAAAAATGTGTGTATTCTCAATAAACCAGCCTTCAGTTTCTTTTATATAGACATCGATGTTCGGAAATGCTCCCCTTCATCTATGAGCCCATTTAATAATAAGCTAAGAAAAGCGTGATAAGAGATTGAGCCCCTTGATCTGAACAGATTCCAAATTATGTCTTCATGCACACACACTTTGTTGGTGATATTATTGAGAGCGCTTCATTTTTCATCTTACAATGTTTCAATATCTTTGTTGCATCTCATAAGTGGCAGCTCAGTAATAACGTTTCTCTTCTCTCTACAGACCAGGGATGAGGATAATAATAACAATTTTAAAGAAAAGAGAGAAGAGACAAGTAAAAAGAATTGAGAAACCCGGTGAGACATCCATTGGTAATTTTTCTTTAGGCTCGCGGCACTGATTGGTCAACTATACCGGTATTGTGCTTGCGTTTTTCTGATTGGCCTATTTCGATCCACAACTGGGTATATATTTTTCCATCATGTTTTTTCGGAACCTATTCTGACGTTTTATGCTCTGAGGAGTGTCAGACGAAAAAGCTTTTAGTATGTCGTAAAATGTATGCTTTTTTCAAAGCCATTTTCAAATTCTGTACCGCAAAAAAATTGTTCATAGAAATATTTCCAGTTCAAAGCTACAAATATAATGAATTAGGAGATTGATTAGGGTTTGCAGTAAAAAAGTGACAGGCTGAAAAGATTATTGCCGCCTACTTTGTATTTTAATTTCTAAGCTTAATTGTCATAACTCACGAAAACTATAGAGTAGCTTAGGGGCCAAAGGCTCATTTTCAAGGTTTTTAGAAAGGGCATCTACTCCTGTGGCTTTTTTCAAGGTTAGGAGTGGCTGCGATGTCATAGTGACGTCATATTTCATTGTTTTGATGATTTTTTTAAAAATGAATAAGCAAAATCATTGTTTACACCAAATTGAAAAACAAGTTAACGCGATTTTAATGGTGGTATTGGTCTTAGGTTTATATTACAATTTGATGTTCCTACAACATTTTTAATTCCTGGTAATGTGGTGTTTTTTAGAGGCCTGGCCCGCCACTTTATGTTGGATTCCCTATGGATTAATTGCCGTAAGTCAAAAATGGTGTCGAGTATTTTAGGGGTCAATGCCTCATTTTGAAGGGTTTAGCGAGTTGGATTTTTTGGGGTAGTTTTTCTAGTGTTGGGTGGGGCTGAAATATCATAGTCAGGTCATAATATGGAATTTCCAAAAGTTTTGAAATAGTATTTGATTGAATACATGTTGCACATCAAAATGAATTACCTCAAGTCAAAGATCTCATTGAAGCGATTCAAATCGTGGTATCGATTCTTCTGTAGCGTAAAGAGATTAATTAATTATGTTGAATTCATTTTCAAACCTTCATTGATTTTCTTCGTAAATCCCCCCGGTGGCGCGGGCCCTGTTTATCTTTTATCTTCAAAATTGTCAAACAAAGGATGATGAACTCTTATGTTCTGGTTGATTGTTTACATAAGGATTAAATAACCCATAATCCAGACAGCACGCAGGTACTTTTCGAATTGGAGTTCGAATGTGAAATTCGATGCGGCCGTTGATGAAGTTTGAGTTCGTTGTTCACAGGCAGTGATTCGATTGCGAGATGGATGCTTATGCGATCATTATTAACCTAGTTGAATCTAGTTGGGCACAAGAAATACTTTATTACTCAGACTTGGATCGTTTGGGTTTTTCAAGACCGCATGCTTGGATTATTTGGGCATTGAGTTTGACGCTTTAACTATTTACCAAGAAAATTGGACTCCTTTAACTTTGCATTTTCTGTATACTTGTATGTGGACCTTATTGAGGACATAAATCAATCGGACTGGAGTTTTATGGATTGATTAATATAGCTACGGTTGTTTAATGGTATCGCTGATAATTGGATTGTAAATCATTTAATTCCATTGAGATTCATCTTGTGCGAAATGGTTTCTTTTTTTCAAATTCTGGTCTCCCTGTCAGCGGCCCGCGGTTTCGGTCTTTGCTGACTCCATTACACTTTTGAAATTGTTTTGAGGAGAAAAGAGAAGAAGTCGGAAGGTATGTTTGTATCACTAATAATTTAATTGTTCTTACTATAAGAAAGCATTATTTTTATTGCTTGAATATGGAATATGAGAAGAAAGTGTTCCTCTGCGCTTATGGAAATTTATTTACTTTCTGTCGCTAGTATCCCCCAATACTATTCGTATTGCCGAATTGTAGAACATGACATTAAAAAGATTTGTCGTTTCTAAAATTATAAGTTTTTGTCGGTTTTATTCATGAGATTACAGCTGCAAAATTTGCTCCTTTGTTTGAATTATTTGTGACAGCTTTTCTTTAGAACAATAATTCGGCAGCTGTTCACTTTGCACACAGTATTATAAAGCATTCTAAACAAAAGATAATGTCATTGTAATGATGACAGGATACTTTTTCCTTCATATTTACCCCAGTTTCTTAGACGTGTCTCACTGTTTCTGCAGACAATTGAGTGACCTTGGCAAACACATTTTTCAATTAAATAATTTTTAGTAAGTTGTCTGCTACACTATTTGTAAATTTCCACTTTCACCTAACCATATTGAATTAAACTGTTGAATTAAACGTCAAGTGTATTTTGCTCTTGTTGCAGCAGTGGTTTTGTCACAATGTGCATTCTTGCTTTTAGCTAAATGTTTTTTTCAGCAAAATTTGCCTCTTCATCTGAATCAATTGAATAGTTGTCTACTATTTTAGCAATTGTAGTTTCTATAATTTCAAAAGGGATGATATCTTCAGCAAAATTATCTTCTCCACGATCAGGAAGATGGTTTATATCATCACAATTTTCTAACTCTTCAGTTTCACTCAAATCCGGATCAGGTATCAAAACAGCCTGTTCTTCAGACTCTCTGCTTACTCCAAAAGTTGAGATTCTTGACTTATCGATGTCCCAACAGAAAAAGGCATCCTGCAGGTCAAGGAGAAAAAATGAACTTTAATTTTTAATCAAGACCATTGAAAATGAATGCAGTAGTTTTTCTATGGTCGATGTGATAAATGAACAATGATCCTGAGCATACCTGTGCCTTTTGAAAAAATTTACAAATTTTATTTTCTACTTTTCCAATTTCATTTTCACTTTTCGACTGTTCAATATGTCTATATAAAGCTAAATGTTCACCACCCAAAGATATTGGCTCCTAAAACTACTAAAAGATTGCGTTTTATTCGTAAATCTTGACCTTTATATTTGAAGATTTCGGTATATATTGCACCCTCTCTTCTTGATGTTATTCTACAGCAACACAACGGAAATCAGAAATAACGGGGAAAAAATACCTATAGACATTACAAGAGGACATAAATGTCTAAATTGAATATAAAGAAACACTGGCATGTTTTTCTAAGAACCCTGAAACATATACCTGCAATGAAGACCTTGTTCAATGTGTCACTTGATGTCGCTTCAAATTAAAATCGTGTCCACCATTTTTGAAAATGCACACATTATTCAAAGTGAGGCTAGAATTGTTCCTGATGGGTGGTTGTCATAGAAATAGGCACCCCCCTATTGGTTAACAAACTAATCAGCATAAATTACCATCTCATTTTCAAATTATGCAATTTTTCTTCTGTTGTTCAGGAACAACATTGCAAAATAAAGGGTTAATTTTGGTCTAGACAAGCTTTGTTTGAGCATTCAGAATCTTGTTGGTACTTGTAGGCAAATGAAAGGTAACGGACAAAACTTTCAGTTTCATTGCCATAGAAATTGCATGTACCTGTGATTGGATCCATGCAATTCATTTTTGCCAGCTGCAACTTTGCGTCACGATACCTACATAATGGGATACATTTTAAAACATTTCTAATTTCGACAGACGCCATATTCATCAAGATATCTCTAAAACGAACATTAAAAACTTGACAAAGCATCAGCCAGTGATCAATTGGACATGTATTTATTAACCTGAATTTTCTTGCGTCTGATGTGTAGGTTCCAAGAGGACAATATTTGTGAATAATCAGAAATGCAGTTTGCATATGCAGAGTTCAAACTGAAGTATCTATAACATTTTCCAGTTTTATTTTGCTTTTCGTTATTTGCTCCAAATTGTCAGTCTCTTTTATATCCTCAGTAATGAGGGTTGTCTGCATTACAGTTTTTTCATCAACTTCTACCTTTGCCTTTTTTTATTTTTGAAAAGCCTCTGCAGCTTGGCCATATCTTCCTCGGGATCTCCAACTTTCAAGTGGTCTCTTGCGCGATTTGTTTCTTCTGAGTGGCTGAATCTTTTCATTTGATGGTGGACTGCATGGCTTTTGTTGCCTGTTCTTTTGTACCAAGTGCTTTGGTTCAGATGTGCTTAGGAAAATGCCGTTTGTTTCATCCTTCCGCATCGAACTATCCATTGTCTTCAGAATAATCTCAAGATTGTTATTAAGTTCCATTAATTTGGCCTTGTTGGGACACTGGTGAATTTGATTTTGCAAAGTTTCTACCTTTGAGATGCATGCCCTACTTATAGAGCTTCATTTTTGTCAGTTAGCATGAGCGTCATCACTAGAGTTGGTACTTTCTTCATCGATCGCTGTTGGCATTCATGTTGTTGAAGATTTCTCTTCATAAGGGCTGTCGTCTTTTTATCAACTTGCAGGATACTTTGGTCGATCTTCTAGAAAGATTGATCAAGATATTTTTAAGGCAGGCTGCTCCAATCAATGTGTTTGCAATATGTAGAACAAGTGTTTGCAAGACAATTTGTTCTGGCATCAGTCCGAACACTCACATTGGAAAATCCCTTAACTGCACTTATTATGAATAAGTCTCACACCCCGACAAAGATTTTATTTCAAAAATCAGACTTGTCTTATCTGCCAATATAATGCTGCTATCCCTAAAAGAGTCCGTTACAACATTTCTTATAGGAACCAAACAGTGCTGAATAAATGCTTTTGGACGATTTTGCAAGTATGATGGAATGTTTTGTGCATAGGATCTAATTCCATTAGATTTTTGTGCCTCAACAATTTCTGTTAGATACTCCCGATACTGATATGGCAAGAAGCGTTCAATTATCAAGTCAGTAATGCCACAAAGAGTCTTTTTCGTTGACTTCTTTAAAAATTTGTATTTCAATAACTTGTTCAATGATTCTGCTCCATTGTTCGTATTGATATTTCTTCCTAATTCCTTTTCTCTAAATGCATGCATCCAAGGCTCTTGACAAGAAAGCCACCATTGATTAAATCTTTGCAAGAAGGGCCATTTGAATTATTTGGTGCATCAGCAATCAGATGTAGCTGTTTGAGTAGCTCCCGACGTTTAATACACAACAAACTGGA